TTCCAAGATGGTCCGATCTGTTGCCGCGAAAGCGTTGGTACAGTCGTAGTTGTTCACAACCAAGTTTAAATGGTTCACTTGTGCCCGCCACTTGTTACACATGATGGTGGTGATGACGCTCTCCCTGCTCCTATGTGGTAGTCATCCCTGAGCCCAGGAGTGGGTCCAAATACTTGCTGACCTGCGAGCCACTCCTGAGTGCCAGGCCATAGAGAAAGTGTCGTTGCAGTGCATGATACGCTTACCTCCTATGTGGTTCTTGCCATTGGATTTGTCGGCATGGGAACTTTGTGATCTATAAGAATATAGTGGCATAGCTTGGCATCTTCTAACATGTACTAGGTAATCCTGTAGTGCTCGCTCGAAATCGAATGTCGTCTCACATATTGCCTCGCTCCTTAGCCCAGCTCTCTCAGCACGGTAGAGAGAGCACAAGTTTGCCACCGGCGGCGCTTCGGGAGGCCGAGCTTCACCATCAGGATCCCGTGCTCCCAAGCCCTCGTCCTTCTCCAGCCTAACTTTTCCAGGATACGTCTGCCTACTCTGTACGTGTACTCAGTGGTCAACTTCTCTAGCTCCTCCTCCTCCTCTTCCTTCTCCGCTGCTCTGATCATCTTCCTCTCCTTCTGCTCACTCTTCTCGTTCGGGGAGGGCAGGTTAGCCGACGGGTTAAGTAAAAGCCACACAGCTTGCCACGGGGAGGCCCCAACTCGGGTAAGCTCTCCTCTTGGCGGCTTTGTTGCAGAAGCGTAGCATAGCATAGGGATCGTGTTTCAATTGCTGCAGAAGGTCGGCATCGACATGGCCCAGTCCGAAGTCTTCACAGCCGCGCCTGTAGTTGAGCCATTCCGTGTCCCAGTCGATCCTAACTCCAGCTAGTCCTCTTGCTTTGGCCTATGTGCTAAGCTCCTCCTCCCATTTTGAAGTACTCCAGTTGGTACGAGGGGAATAGTAAAACCTTCTTTTAGGACCCCTCCCATTGCCCTGGTAGAGTACTCTCAACTTGTGCATGTCCGAGTATCGCTGTTCCTTGTATGCCTGCCAGGTATGAGATGCCAAACTTGCTTTGCGTCGTTGCATGTGTTGCTGTCGGATATTTGTCATAACTTGTGTTCTTTCTTTCAGAACTTCGCAAACTCTGATGAACTCCTCCTCCTCCAATCCTTCTACCACCTGCTCTCTCAACTCCCTTCTCTGATCAAGCAAATGCATGCGGTATGCGCGCATATGCTCGTACATGTCGTCCACGGGCGTGGGCTTTTCGGGGAAAGTCTCATTGAGGGCTTCTTGCTTAAATACGTCCTCCCCCACCTCAGCTACATGTTCATCGATGTTCTGAAAGAGCTCCTGTCGCTTGTAACCTTTGGTGAGGCGCTTCATAAGGTCGCTCCTGTCTGGGCGGGGGTCTCGCAGACGACGACTACGATGGTGGTGGAAAAGACTGGCATCTAGATCAAGCCCAACTGGTATGTGGTCGCGATGCCCTCGTGCCTTTATGGTTTGCAACTGCTTACCAGCTAACGAAAGACGTGCACACGCTCTGATCAGGTGTCTGGCATTTACAGGTATGGCGATGTGGTCGATGCGGCTGCGCCCTCCCGTGGGGCCGTGAAACGTGTCGGTAACCTTATTGCAGGTAGACGCAAAAAGTAATTTCTTTCTTTCGCAAAATTCTCGGAAGTTCTTCCCGTTGGCATTTTCTAGTCTAGGTCTATGAACTCCAACATGGATATTGCGACATTCCTGAACACTGCCATCTTGGTCCCTGTACAGTCCTAAGTCCGAGTTGACGTCACCTCCTATAACGATGTTGGTGCGAACTCCGAGCTGGTCCAGTTGCGTATCTAACCAAGATGTTATTTGTCGTCCAATATCTGCATGGAGAGGGTCTGATACTGGTGCAAAGTATACTTCGAACATGGCCGTGTCCACTTATTGCGTCTGGATTATGATGCCTCCGACTCGACCCTGCAGTGCAGGGGGGGAGGGGCTTCATCACCGTGTGTAATGCTTGCGTGGGGATGTGACTTTTGACCAAGAAACTCAGTCCACATGCCTTGCTCGTCAGCCATCCTCGCTTATAGCCCATATCAATACCCCAATGTGGTCCATAGTGGTGTTGCTGGACGGGCTGGTCACTCAAGGATTTGGCCGAGGTACCTGAGAGGATCTTTATGTCCCAGCTCTTCAAGGCGACGCTGACATCTGTGATCCTCGTGTTGTAGGCGGCATGCATGGGATTGTGAGTGGCGATGCGCATGGCGGCATACACAATCACGAGCACGAGTATCATGATGTACGTGTGAATGCGCGCGCGCCATCTGCCCCCATTCCCCGCGGCTCCCCTGCCCCGCGGCTGCTGCCCCTGAGGAAGCGGGACATGTCGGGCGCGCCTCGCGCGTCGGGAAACCCCCCTCGCGCTGCGAAGCGGCGACTGAGGAGGAGGAGGAGGAGGAGGAGGAGGCTCCGGCTTCTGGTGCGCCCTGACCTGCGCGCCTCGGGGCCCCGAGACAAGAGGGCGCCGCGTTGGGGCATCCTCCCCCTCCTCCTCCCCCTCCTCCTCCTCGGCGTCCCCCTCGGGGCACCACATGACACCTCTCCTTCCGGACCCTGCGGAACCAGGTGCCAGGTGTTTGCGCAGCGGGTCTTTCTTTTTACGTATCTTCCGCACGGTCACAGTCCGCATGTCGTTTGTCTCGATGAGCCACACGCTGGAGCGGACTGCCTCTGCGTCGCCGCCGGCGGAAAAAAAGGTTCTCGCAGCGCCGGGGGAAAAAGGTTCTCGCAGCGCACGGGCAGAAAAAGGTTTGGGGAAACGCAAGTTTCGAGTACGCCGGAACTCGGGTTCGCCTGCGATCTTTGACGAGCCCTCCCAGGGCTTTGACGGCCCAGCTCTGGTGGGATGTCTGCAGCGGGAGATGAGTGAAATTTCAGAGTGGGTCTCGTCATATTTCTGTTGGACCCGTCAGTCCAACCCGAGTCCCCCGAACCCGAGTTTTACGTCTCCCTGAAAGGTGGAGAGGTTAGCGCTGGTGCGCTAGCAGCGAGCAGCGAGTCGCGCCTGGAGATCTCCCTGGAGAGTGGCCCTGGTGAAAGCAGGCATGCAGAAGCCCTGTTGGAGTTCGTTCCAGGCGGACTGTGCTCTTTAGAACCCGTCACGGACGGGTCTTGACTCTTGCTGGACGCTGCGCAGCGAGTGTGCGAGGCCGGAGGCGCGCTTCTGCAGCGCCGTGATGTTTGTTGTTAGCGCGGCTTCCCGATCCTGGGCTGGCTGTTATCTGGCCGCGGTGAGGCATTGCGTGAGGGCACGTCTCCGATCGGTGAGCTGCGCTGGTGTCGCTCGGGCACCTACACCTGGGGGGGGGCATTAGGGCCCTTGGTCTCCGTTCCATGGTGGGGCGGGGGCTTTTCAAGGTGGCAGGATGGATGTGCGACAAAGAGAGAGAGAGAGAGAGAGAGAGGGAGAGAGCGAGAGAAAAAGAAAGAGAGAGAGAGAGAAAACAAATATAATTGATCAAAACAAGGGAGGATGGAGGGAGGGAGGGAGGAAGGGATAGGGGAAGGAGAGGGGGATGGGGGAGGGGAAAGGGGGGCAGGGAGGGAGGAAGAGGGATAGACAAAGAGGGATACGGAGAGGGAATTGGAGAGATGAGGACAAAGAAAGAGAAAGAGAGAGAGAGAGAGACAACATATGTATATTTGACTCTCTATATAAAATATATAATGATAGAGAATGAGAGACACAGGCAAATAGAGAGAGGGGGGGGAAAAAACAGAGAAAAGAGAGATGGAGAGAGTGCGTGTGTGAAAGAGAGAGAGAGAGAGAGACAAACAATCCAACAAAACAAATGGCTGTGGAGGGAACGTGGGCGGGCGGAGGGAGGGGAGCGGGATGGAGCGGGGCAGGGACGGGGCAGGACGGACTGGGGGACGTCGGCAGGAAGGGTGGTGACGGCATGGGGGCGGGGGTGGGTGTGGGAGAGAGGACGGCGTTGGGGGCGAGCTGGGCGGGGGCGGGGGCTCTCTTGGGGCGGAGGGCGTGCGGTGGATGGTGGGGGGGGCGTCCTCCCTCCTCCTCTTCGTCCTCCATCCTCCTTTGTATTCCCTCCTCCTCGTCCTCCCTCCTCCTCGTCCTCCCTCCTCCCTCGTCCCTCCTCTTCGCCCTCCCTCCCCTTCCTCCTCCTCCCTCGTCCCTCCCTCCTTCTCGTCCTCCCTCCTCCCTCGTCCCTCCTCCTGGTCCTCCCTCCGCCTCGTCCTCCCTGGCAGGGGGGGGGGCGGGGCATAGATCCCAATGCATACGCCGGGGGAGGTGGTGAGGGGGGGGGGCGGCGGCGGCGGAGAGGAGGTGGCGATGGGGCCACGGCAGGGGGACCTGGCAGTTTCCGACGGAGGGGGGCAGTCAGTCGGGGGCGAGGGGCAGCGACAACGGGTTTTGCGAGGGACCGAAATTGCCAGGTGGAGGTTAGTGCAGGATGTGTTGGAGTTCTGGCACGGTTTTGCTAGATCAAATCTAGTTAGCACCTTGAGTTAGTCCACGTTTGAACCTGGATTAGTTTCACATGCCGTACCGTAATTTCTCAGAACTTGTCCCGGGCATCTCAGTGCACTTCCTGGTCCTCGGGCGTCGTTGTCTCAAGCATCCCCGAGCCTCCCATCCCGCGGAGCGCAGCGACACGCTATCCACCCGCAAGGCACATGGCGTCGCCGAGGCCGCCGCCGTGACACGCATTCCCACAGCGCCTGACCGCAGAAGCTGTGCTTCCCCGCCCCCCCCTCCAGGCGCCTGGGAGGAGGAGGAAGAGGAGGAGGAGGAGCAGCAGCAGGAGGAGCAGGAGGAGGAGGAGAAGAAGGATGAGGACGAGGACGAGGACGAGGACGAGGACGAGGACGACGACGAGGAGGAGGAGGAAGAAGAGGACGAGGCCGCGCCAAGGCTCTCAGCGCCCCCCGGGCCCCGCGAGGGGCGGCGGCCCCTCCCTCGGGCAGCGCCGCGGCCGCAGGCGAAGCAGCTCGACGAGACGCCGCGCCTCGCCGGCGCGGCGACGCCGCTCATCGCAGGCGGGGCGCCGCCGTCGTCGCCGCCGCCGCTGCTGCCGCTGCAGGCAGCGTGAAGTCGGGCGTGCCCGTGCACGGGAGGAATGCTCAAACATAGTTGTTTCAAAGATAGTTTGGGGGCGACTTTCCGATCTACTGTTTGATCTCGTTTGGGGTAGGTTTGGGATATCAGCTTTCGCCCAAAATCCGCCCGCAGGAGGCCACGCCCGACCTAAAGGCAGCGCCGTCGCCGCTGTTGCCTTCTGCGCCCTTCGTCGCCGCTGCCGCCACCGCCGCCGCCATCGTCGCCGCCGTCGTCGCCGCCGTCGTACGGGCGTGTGAAGCCGGGCGTGCCCATGTACGGGAGGAATACTCAGAAATAGTTACAGTATCCTGGCGAAGGACCCAGTTGTGAATACCGCAATTGTGAATCTCATCTTTGCCCGCACTCCCTATGGGGCCACGAACCGTGTGAGGGGCGTGCCGAAATGCGTGGCGGGGCACACAGCGCGAGCGAAGACGATAGGTCTGTGTGCGAGAGACTGAGCGCGAGTGAGTCTGATTGTGAATGAGTCTGCGTGCGAATCAGCCTACCTACGCGCGTAAACGTCGACGCCCATGTCGGCACGCTCCTTTCGAGGATCGCGCCCGCGACTTAGATGGAGCTCCCTGTGGGGCCTCGAAACGTATGAGGGGTGTGCCAAAATGGGGCGGAAGCGCCATGCAAACTGCGCCACTGGAACCCTAGGTGGAGCTCCACCTGGGGTCACGAAACGTGTGAGGGGTGTGCCAAAATGGGGCGGCGGCGCTATGCGAACTGCGCCACTGGGACCTTAGGTGGAGCTCCCTATCGGGGCCACGAAACGTGTGAGGGGTGTGCCAAAATGGGGCGGCGGCGCCATGCAAACTGCACCACTGGGACCCTAGGTGGAACTCCTTATGGGGCCACGACGCGTGTGAGGGGTGTGCCAAAATGGGGCGGCGGCGCCATGCGAACTGCGCTACTGGGACCCTAGGTTGAGCTCCCGATGGGGCCGCGAAACGTGTGAGGGGTGTGCCAAAATGGGGCGGCGGCTCCATGCGAACTGCGCCACTGGAACCCTAGGTGGAGCTCCATCTGGGGCCACGAAACGTGTGAGGGGTGTGCCAAAATGGGGCGGCGGCGTCATGCGAACTGCGCCACTGGGACCCTAGGTGGAACACCTGTCGGGGCCACGAAACGTGTGAGGGGTGTGCCAAAATGGGGCGGCGGCGCTATGCGAACTGCGCCACTGGGACCCTAAGTTGAGCTCCCGATCGGGGCCACGAAACGTGTGAGGGGTGTGCCAAAATGGGGCGGCGGCGCCATGCAAATTGCGCCACTGGGACCTGAGGTAGGGCCCTCTGTGGGCCGCGAAACGTCTGAGGGGTGTGCAGAAACAGAGCCATGCGGAGAGCAAAGGCAAGGAGGGGGAGGAGGGAGGAGGAGGAGGAGGAGGAGGAGGAGGAGGAAGAAGGAGGAAGGAGGAGAACGCGGGACACCGTCTTTTCAAAACGAGGACCCACCACCACAGGATGGTTAGGAAAAAGATAGTCTGGGGACGATATTCCGATTATGTTTGATTTCGTTTGGGACATGTTTTGAACATCAATTTTCGCCCAAAATCCGCCTGTTGGAGGAAAGTCCGACCTAAAGGCAGCGCCGCCGCCGCTGTTGCCTTCTGCGTCCTTCGTCGCCGCTGCCGCCACCGCCGCCGCCATCGTCGCCGCCGTCGTCGCCGCCGTCGTCGTCCGTCGTCGTGCCTGCCATCGCATCCGTCGCCGTCGCCGCCGCTGTCGTCGTTGACGTCGCCGTCGCCGTCGCCGTCGTCGTCGTCGTCGTAGTCATTGTCGTCGTCGTCGTCGTCGCCTTCGTCGTCGTCGTCCCCTATCGTCTTCGCCGTCGTCGTGCGTCGCCGCCGCTGCCGCCGCAGCCGTGTCGTCGTCTGCGCCCCCGTCGTCGTCTTCGTCTTCGTTCATCGCCACCGATGCCGCCGCCGCCGTCGCCGCCGCTGCCGTCGTTGTCGCCGTCCTCGCCGTCGTCGTTGTCGCCAGACCTCCGACGCCGTCATTTTCCACGAGGTGCGCGGGCCCTGGCGCTCTCGACCCCATCCCACGGGCCGTTTCCATCCGCGGACGTTGTCTGAACGATGATGCTCTGCGGGCCCGAGCCAGGCTGCAGACCCAAACGTGGAAATAAACCCGGCGTGACCCCAACTGGGGAGCGTGTTTCTGTTGAAAGCACACATGTGCAGTAATGCAGCGCTGTGAGGCTCAATGCGAGGAGATGCCATGCAATCCAACGCATAATGCATGATGGTAATGCGAGTCGTACTACCGCATAACATATCGTGGCATACCGGCATCGTGTCGCAAGGGTCAGCAGAGCGTAGCATAGCATGGCATCGCGCAGGGTTGAATGGTGTAACATCCGACATCACTGTATAGTCCAGCGTAGCTTTCATGGCACGACGTGTCATCGCACAGTCAAAACTCGTCGTAGCACAGCAGTGTGTAGCTTAGTTGAGGAATTCCATCGCGTTGGCACAGCATAGAGCCGCACATCACTAGCAGATATCACAACAGCAGTTCCAAGACACTTGCAGAGGAGGCCCCAGCGCCTGCGCGGGGAACCACCGCCCAGGCCACGAGGAACTGGCTTGCAAAGGCACGCAGACCCCTTCATGGTGGGCGAGCCGCTTCGCGCCAAGGGTCTGAGTCGTCTTCGCACTCTTCGCCTCTGCCTGCTCCTCGCCGCGCTCTGACCCGGACTTCGCGGCGGATCCGGCCGTGGCGACGAGGCCCCCCCCTCCGGGAGGCCCCGAACGGGCTGAGCACAGCAGCACCTTTCTCCTCCTTCCGCCGGCGCTCGCCTCGGCCCTCGGCGGCCCGGGGAGGCCAGGGGCCGGTGAAGACTGGCGACGCCACGCCGCTGGTGGGGCAGCCGCCGATGTGGCACACGCCGCTGCAGGCCGTGCCGTGGCTGTCGTGATCGTCGTAAGTCGTCGCTCGTCCTTCGTCGTTGCAAGCCGTCATTCGCTCGTTCGTTCGTTGGTCGTCGTGGTCGTCATCGTCGTCCGTCCACGCCGTCGGCGTCGTCGATGAAGCACCCCCCTTCTTGGGGAAACCAAAGGATACTGATACCACTACCCCCCAGACCTCCCCCGTGGTGCGTTCTGACCAGGATTAGGCGAATCCAGCGGTGGCGACGAGGGCCTCGCCGGAGGCCCAAAAAAGGGGAGAACTGCCGAAGGGCAGAGGTATGGGTACCTTTTCCTCTTGACTTCTCTCCAAGCGTCCTGGCTCGCCTATAGCCCTACCGAACAATGTTCTAAGAACCTTTTGTGGTTCCCACGAAATGTTCTAAGAACATGTACGGTTGAGATTGTCTTGTTTTAACCCATCGGGTTTATGTTCTAAGAACATTATTTTTGTTCTTAGAACATAGTTGGGCTCTAGGAACATTTCGTGGTAGGACTATAGGAATGCCGGGACGGTCGGGGAGCAGGAGGAGGAGGGGGAGGAGGAGCAGGAGGAGGAGGAGGAGGAGGAGGAGGACTGTAGGAGTGCCGGGACGGTCGGGGAGCAGGAGGAGGAGGGGGAGTAGGAGGAGGAGGAGGATGAGGGGGAGGCGGAGGAGGAGGGGGAGGAGGAGAAGAAGAAGCATCATAATAGTAATAATAATAATAATAATATTAAGAATAATAATAGTAATAATAATAGTAGTAATAGTAATAATGGTAATAATAGTACTAGTACTAGTACTAGTAATAATAATAATAATACTACTACTACTAATAATAATAATAATAATAATAATAACAATAGTACTAATAATATTATTAATAATAATAATCATAATACTGAGAATACTAGTAGTACTAATCATAATACTAATAGTAATAATAATACTAATACTAATACTAATACTACTACTACTAACAATAATAATAATAATAATAACAATAATAATAATAATATGAATATGCAGAATAATCGTACACATGATAAGAATAAGAGGAATAATAATACTAATAAGAATAAGAGAGGAGGGAGGGAGGGTAGGAGGGAGGGAGGGAGGGAGGAGGAGGAGGAGGAGGAGGAGGAGGGAGGAGGGAGGAGGAGTAGGCCCCCTTCTGATCCCTCCCCGTCTCCTGGCTTCCCCCGTGAAGAGCGCCTTAAAACTCTTGGGCCTGGGGCCTTCGCGCTGGGCGGAAAGACTCCTCCTCGTCCCCCTCCTCCTGGAGGGTAAAAACACACAGACACCATCCATCGGCGACTCCCAGGAAAATATACGGGAACATCTGGGAAGCGTGGGGGGAAGACGAGGACCCAGAAAAAAGATAGGAAGATATGGGGAATCCTGGGATTGGTGTCTGTTTCTTTGTGTGTGTACCTGGGCCCCTGCATCCTTCTCCTGCTACACCTCAGAGCCCAACTGGCAGCTGCTGCCCCGAGCGCCTGCCGGGCGTCCTCCCGCACCCTCGCAGGGGCATCGCCCCCTTCGCACCGCATGCGCATGGCACATGCCCGCCTGCCATGCCAGTGGCCCTGCGCAGACGGCGCTGACCAAATTCCGCACCACGTGGAGTGCCGAGGCGCCCGGTGGAGTGCCCGCGTGGCCTCGCGCTTCATCGCGCACGCGTGCCCCCCGCACTGCCTCGGCCTCGGCTCACCAGCAGACTGCGACGACGAGCCACGCGGCGAGGACGGGCTCTCCGCAGCGGCGGCGCGGCTCGCCACGCTGCACCATACGCTCAATTCCCAGACCTCCGACGCCATGAATTTTTCGCAACGTCGACCCCGTTTTGAGTCCTGAGTCGTTTTGTCGTCCTCGGGACCCTGAGTCCTGAGTCGTTTTGAGTCCTGAGTCGTTTTGTCGTTGAGTCCTGAGTCGTTTTGTCGTCCTGAGTCGACCCCGTTTTTCCATTCATTCCCCGGGACCGGTTTCTCGTCCTGAGTCGTTTTGTGACGGTCCCGAGGCACGCTGAGGACCCCCCGAGGCCGAAAATAGGGAAAACCTCACGTCGCGATTTTGCATGACTCGAGGGGGTCCCGGACCTGCTCCGTCGCCGGCCTGGCCCTGCCTGGCCGCCCCCGGAGGTGGGCCCAGGCCCCGGCCCGCGGCCCGCGGCCCAGCGCGTCCGGGTGCCCCCGCCTCCCTGGTGCGATCGCAGCCCTGCAGGGCCGCTGACCTATACCAAGGCGGCCTGGCAGCACCCCGCAGGTCACCAGGCCCGGCGAGAGCCGCCCGTCTCATCAGGGGCCCCGGCGGCGAGTCGGCGGCGGCGGCGGCTGGCGCCGCGGCGGCCTGTCCTGAGTATTACTCCGCACGCGGCGCAGCGGCCGCACCCGCGGCGGGCCGAGGCGCCGACTTTGACCCTCCTCTCTGCCACGGACGCTCCTCCTCCTCCTCCTCCTCCTCCTCCTCCTCCTCCTCCTCCTCCTCCTCCTCGTCCTCGTCCTCGTCCTCGTCCTCCCTCCCTCCCTCCTACCCTCCTCTTCCTCCTCCTCCTCCTCCTCCTCCTCCTCCTCCTCCTCCTCCTCTTCCTCCTCCTCCTCCTGATCGATCATCGCCTCGATGCTCGAAGATGGAAGTTCTGGATCGTGTTTGGCCGTCCTGCAGGTGTCTCAGAAGACCGTTGAGGTCTCTTGAGGTTTCCAGAGGCCTAAGAGGAGGGAACACCAGAAGAGGGAGCAGGGAGGGAGAGAGGGGGAGAGTGGGAGAGGGGAGGGGGAGAGACGGAGAGAGAGAGAGAGGGAGAGAGAGAGAGAGAGGGAAAGCTCCTTCTGATCCTTCACCTCTTCCTTCTGTGCCTCTGGGGGGGGGTCTTGTCGCCACCGAGAGGGACCGGCTCGGAAAGCGGCCGCAAGGGGTCCAGGGGACCCGTGTGGGGCGAATTTCCCCAGTGGTACCCTCGCCGCTCTAGGGTACCCTCGTAGCTCGCTGCTCCCGCCTCCCTCCCCCCTCCCTCCCTCCCTCCCTCCCTCCCTCCCTCCCTACTTCTTCTCCTTCTTCTCCTTCTTCTCCTCCTCCTCCTCCTCCTCCTCCTCCTCCTCCTCCTCCTCCTCCTCCTCCTCCCGCCTAGCCCCCGCCAGGTTCCTGCCTGCGGGGGATGCCGAGGCTGGCCCCCCCCTCCGGCGTGGTGGCCTCCGAGCCTCCGCGCGTGCCCTCGCCCCCCGTCGGAGGTCCGGAGGGCCCGGAGAGGAGCCGTCAGGGGCGCCCTCGAGGCCTCGAGGCCCTCGGAGGAGGCTTCCTCGGGCGGAGGGAGGAGGGAGATGGGGAGGGAGGGAGGGAGGGAGGGAGGGAGGCCTCCTCCTCCCCCTCCTCCCTGCCTCCTCCTCCTCTTTCCAGGGAGCGCCAGCGAATTAGCCTGCCTTTCGGTTAGTCCCCGCCGGACTGACCTCTTTCCGGCATCGCCGTCGGTCCCCCTGGGGCGCAGGGGGTGCCGGTCCCACTCGGGAGCCGGCGGCGCGAGACGGGAGGGAGGGAGGGAGGGAGGACGGGCGGCACGAAGACCCCTGCAGCCGCCCCAGCATCATGGCGACAACCACCACCAGCACGACATCCACGACGACCACCAGCACCGCGTCCAGGACTGGCACGACAAGCAGCACGTCCACCGCCAGCACCGCGACCATGACGACTACCAGCACGGCGCCGCCACGACACCAGCCTCCACTACTGCAGCGCCGACGGCCACCACCCTAAGTACCACGACGACGAACACCACGACCCCCACTATAGCTGCCACAGCCGCCAGGACGCCCCCCACGACCGCCCCCCACCTGACGCTCCCCCTTCCTCGTCCTCCCCCCCTTCCCTGGTCGGGCCGTCCCTGCCGCCAAGCTCCCTTTCTCCTTCTCCTCCTCTTTGTCAGCGTGTCCCCGGTTCCGTTCGGTTCGTTTCGGTTCGGGGGAAATGGGTTCGGTTCAATACGGTTCCGGTTTCGGAGCTGTTTGAGGCGGTTCCCATTCAGAGGGCGGTTCCGTTTCAGCCGGTTCCATTTCGGTTCTCGGCTCTTGCAGATGACGTGTGCGCGTGTGCGTCTACATGATCATATGGAGGCGTTTGGAGGTTCAGTTCAACCAGGAGTCAGGAGGAACCCTAGGGCCAGGGGAGCCACTGGGCCCAGCTGCCCGACTAGCCAGGGGAGCCACTGGGCCCAGACGTTACGCATGGTGCCCTCGACGGACCAGTCGACAGCATCATGCCTCCTGGACCAAAGGGCTCTGGCGACAGCGGGCGATTCCTCAGCGCCAGGATAGAAAACGCTTGGACTACGGTCTGGGACAATACTGACCACTCACTCCTGGCATGGGTCATCCCAAAAGACAACTGGGAAGGCAAGGGCGCCGCCCGCGCCCTCACCGGACGCGCGCAGGATGGTGGGGGCCCAGCCCCGGCCGCTGTTCCCAGTTCGGCCCTGGAGGCCCCGAGGACCCCTGGAAACCCAAATCGCATTTTCGAACCGTCCAAACATGCGATTTGAGCTTTTCCGCCACCCTTTCGTCCCCAGCGCAGCCTTGGAGGCTCCGAAAACCATTTGGAGGCCCAAAACGCATTTTCGAACCGTCCAAAAATGCGATTTGAGCTGTTCCGCCGCCCTGCCATCCCCAGAGCAGCCTCGGGGGCTCCGAGAACCACCTGGAGACCCTAAACGAATTTTCGAGCCGTCCAAAAATTCGATTTGAGCTTTTCCGCCGCCCTTCCGTCCCCAGTTCGGCCCTGGACAAGCAGCAAAACAGGACGAGGGAACTCGAGGGCGCAGGGGAGGAGTTGGGAGCGGGTGGATGGACCTAGCGCAAGAGTGGGCGCTCGCATCGGGCAGTTCCCAATGGTCCACCTCCACGACCGGTTCCCGGTTCGGTTCCCGGTTCGGGCCCGGTTCGGTTCCACCGCCTCCGGTTCGGTTTGGTTTCGGTTCACGTCGGGTTTCTGACGGGTTCCGGTTCCGTCGGTTCTCCCACGGTTGGTTCGATTCTGTGGTTCGTGGTTCGGTTCAGCGGTTCATTGTCCTTCTCCTGATGATAAGTTCATTCAGTGATACATACATAAGATGGTTAGTTGAATGTTTGAATTACTTACGTAATTGATGAATTAATCAATTCATTAATCGATTAATTAAGTAACTCGTTCATTAAATAAGTCATTAGTTGATGTTTTTTTTGATTGATTAACCAAGTCACTCCCTCGCCGAAGGCGGTGGTGTCACTGGCGCGCGGGTGCGTTCGGATCGACCATTCCAGCCCCCCCAGGGGTCCCGATCGCGGGTGCCGGTCCATTCTGGGAGCCCCTGGGGCCGTGGCCGGAGGGAGGGAGGAAGGGAGGGAGGGAGGGAGGGAGGAGGAAGAGGAGGAGGAGGAGGAGGGAGGAAAAGGAGGGAGGAGGAAGGAGGAGTAGGAGGAGGAGGGAGGGGGACCCTCGCCGCTCGGAGCTGCCGCCGCTCCCCGCCAAGGCAACCGCGCTGAGGTCCGGCGGCCCGCCGCCACCAGCGGCGCACGCGGGGCGGCCGGCGCCAGCGGAGGACCGCCGCCCGGCTTCCCGCTGGGGCCCGCGCGGGGCCACGGCCACTGGAGGCCTTCGGATCCAGCCGCCAGAGGCCCACCTTGGGCCCTCGGGGGCCCTGGGAGGCCCACCTGGGGCCCATGCGGGGCCTTCGCGAAGGCTCCTCGCGAGGAGGTCTTCGGCGGCTTCCAGCCCAGGATGCCTCAAGCCATGGGAAGCAGGAGCGGCGCATGCAGCAGGGTGACGGCGGAGGTTGTTCGTTCGTTCATTCGGAGGTATCTTGGGGGCTCCTCGTGGCTACAGGAGGAGGAGGAGGAGGAGGAGGAGGAGGAGGAGGAGGAGGAGGAGAGGAGGAGGAGAGGAGGAGGAGAGAGGAGGAAGAGGAGAGGAGGAGGAGGCGGAGGAAAGGCGGAGGGAGGAGGCGGAGGGAGGAGGAGGGAGGAGGAGGAGGAGGAGGAGGAGGAGGAGGGAGGAGGAGGAGGAGGAGGAGGAGGAGGAGGAGGAGGAGGAGGAGGAGGAGGAGGAGGAGGAGCAGGAGGGAGGAGGAGGAGGAGGAGGAGGAGGAGGAGGAGGAGGAGGAGAAGGAAGAGGACGCTCGTGAGGAGGAAGATGGGGAATGACCAGGATTAGGAGGAGGGGCGATGATGTGGAGCAGGATGAGGAGTGAGGATCGAAAGGGAGGACGGAGAGCCTGAACATACAGAAGCAGGCAGGACCAAGCATATTCGAGTAGGGTGTCGACTAAAGAAATGATGATCCCAAACATTGATCTCTTCGTGGGATTTACGAAAACACGTGGAATGGAGCAACTTACGCATTTGGTGTAGATCCAGCGGGAAAAACAATGTTGGGGTAAGTCAGTTCTGTAGCGAGCCCCTACTCGAAGCATGATGGTAAGAACGGGGCGAGAAGGTGGCCAGACGAATAGAAAGAGGGACGAATACTTAAGGGACCGTACAGCCAAGGCGCTGACAAAGGGACCGCTTTGGCTTCGGCAGGGGCTCGCTGTTCTTCAGGTCCTTCCGTGGCCCTCCTCGTGCATCCAGGCGCCCTGAGTGCCAAAGAGGGGCTTCGCTCTTTGTCCAGCGCTCCTTATCGCAGCAGCTTGTCTGTAGGGCTCCGGGGCCCAGCCTCCGCACAGCCGCGGACCCCGCAGGGCCCGAGGCGGATCGAACTTCGACTACGGTCTCCCTGGTGGGCTGCGGCGCAGTCCGGCGGCCCCCTGCCCACCCCGCCGCCGTGCTCTGGGCTGCTGTGGGCCGCCGCGCGGGTGGGAACGGCGGCAAGCCGCGGCGCATTCCCGGCCGTGTTCCTCGAGCGTCCTCGTGGCCCCAGTCCGACGGATGCTGTCTCTCCGCACGGGATGAGGAGGAGGAGGAGGGAGGAGGAGGAGGAGGAGGAGGAGCAGGAGCAGGAGCAGGAGCAGGAGCAGGAGCAGGAGCAGCAAGATCAGCAGGGACAGGGGGAGGGGGAGGGGGAGAAGGAGGAGGAGGAGGCGGAGGAGCCAGAACCGCTTCGTCGTCTCCACGCCGAAAGGCCCTCACAGCGCTCCTGAGTGCTTGAGAGCTCACCGCCGACACGGCCAGGCCCGATGGCCCAGCGCAGCAGCAGCCTCTGTCGTGCAGTACTGTTCCTCCCCCGCGTCCGAAAGGTCGGCCTCCCCCTCCTGCTGAGCTCGAGCGTGCATGAGGGCAAAGGGCTCTGCAGAGACGCTCGAAGGCTTGGGGTGCTTTCCGCACAGACGCCATCCCCAAGACCACACAGGGAGCTTAGGCGCGGGGGCCTTCGGACGTGCACGCTTCAAGTGTGTGAGCTGACCCCCAGAGATGTAGGCTCCGCACTTCGAGCAGGCGTATAGCATGAAAGCATCACTGCAGCTAAAAGCCTGGAGGGCGTAACCCTTGAGCCCTCTCTCAAGAGCGACGTCAGGGAGGACTTCTGGGCAGCCACTCCCCTGAAGGCTTCTTGTCAGAGCGACGTGTCTTTGAGCAGCAATGGCATCTCCAAAAGGAACGGCACCAGGCCCAGCCGTGCACCGACAATTTCTTGCCTTTCGTGGTTTTGCCGGCTGAGGAAGCACGGGCAACATTGTCCAGGTCCAGCCGGGACCAGAGGGGGAGGACTAAAGCAGCCAGGGCACACACACTCTTCGCAATAAAAGCTGTCCGATCGATCGCCGTCAGTTGCGCCGCTGAGGGAAGGCGGTGAGACCAACCTCCTGCCTTGGCCGCGGCGTCGGTGGCAGTGTTGCGGCCTTGTAAATGCGCTGCTCGGCCGTAAGATCAGGCGGGCCCTCTACTTGCGTTGTCGCCTGAATGGAGTCGCGGTAGTCAGATTGCGATCAACTCAGACGGGTGCCAGCATATAGTTTCTTAAGAGAGACTTGGAGCTGGGTCGGGGCCTTAAACGCCCGCACAACGTTGGCACAGTCGGAGTACCCCATAGAGGGCTCAGCGAGACGGTCATCGGTGACCCCAAGCCCACAGTGCTGACCAGCTTCGGAGGTCTGGGGGAGGAAGCTGGGGACGGGCCCTGATAGGGCGGGTGCACTGGAGAGCACCGTCCTCGTTGCGAACCGCCGCCCCCCCCCCCCCCCGGCCAGCCCCAGACATCTCCACTGTGGGGCTTCTCAGCCCAGCTCCATCGAAGAAGACGTGCCCTCGATTTCCGTCGACGTGCTGAGGGGATCGCCTTCCCGCGTCGCTTTCATGCCACCCTCCTCCACTGGCATGGGGACGTCACCACGGGGGTGTGGGAAGGTTCGATGGCCTTAGTGAAGTGCAGCCAGTCGGGATCCTCAGGCCCGATCGTAATTACCCGATCAGTCAGGGCCTGATCGACCACGTCAAGCCTCTCGGAGCTGACTGCGGAGCATTGCCATATGCGGTGAAACATCGTGTCAGTAAGCTGTCCGCAAAAGCCGCACATGGTAGAGTCCATGATGTAACCGTACCCGTCGGCCTTGGTGGCCATCCATCATGCTCCGCCTGAAAACGCCTTGACATACCCTTTATGTAAAGGATCCCATGTGTTGGACTCCAACTCCTGCATAACGACATCAGAATAGGCTCTAGCACCAAGGCCGTGAGCTTCGCCAGGCTGCCTCCTAAGGTGCTTCAAAACTCTTTCATGAAGAAACTGTTTGACCGTTATGGGGGAGGTGGTGGTGAGGGAGATGCTACCGCTATGATCAGTGATTAGCGTAGTCAAACATTACATAATCCAGTTGGTTATACTACCGAAGCTCGCGCGGCGCTCAAGGAGCCCGAAACCTTCCAGGAAACCGACTCGTCGAAGAAAACACCCTCCCACACCATCCTTAGAGCAGAGAGCCCAACCGAAAACTTGCACTGCCTTGTCGAAGATATCCAGATCTCCTAAGAGTATTACGCGAGCAATAGCAGCGTAGAAGTGCGGGTCATGCTTTACGATGCTGAGGGTGGTCGCGGGATCATGCCGATGGTTTTGTCCGACTTTCCGAACGCCTGCCAACGGTCCCGCCAGAACAATTTTCCTCTGCCATTTGCCGAACGCCGTGTCTTGCACGAATGACACGCGCACTCTCCATCTTCGTTGCCCATTTCATCCTCCCCCCCCCCGCTCGAATAGTCCAGCCTGCTGCGTTATCATTTCCGAGGTTGATAGCACGATAAGCGGACGAATTCCCAGCGACTCTCCCAAGAAAGTCCTCGAGCTTCTGACTGAGAGGGCGAGCGGAGCAGCAATCGAGCCCTTCGTGGACAGGATGTAGTCGTCAACGTAAGCATCTAACAATTGGGGCTGGAAGTGCTGCAACGAATCGACCACAGGCACGACGTAGGTTCGCACAAAGATGGTGGCCATGGAGCAGCCATCCACCACTTCATGGATCGCGTCGGGCGCACAGAGACATTGAACACCGCGAGGAATCTAGCCCCGCGGTGCGCACAACGGCACACCCACCAATTGCATGGGAAAGTTGAGGTCGCGATCCCTCTGCTCCAAGGGGCAGCAACACGGACTCATCGAAATACTTGAGGTCCCAGAGAAGCGGGGCCGCCGACAGGCCCTCCTTCATTCCAGACTCGTTTCTGTCCGATTGTCTCAAAACCACACCATCGGCCCCTTTGAACAAAGACGCTGCGATGTAAGCCCGAGGGTTGGCAAGCTCCCAAGACGTAGCCTGCTGACGACGCGTGCGCCCCCAGCGACATTGAGCAGCCCGATAGGCTTGACGCCCCCGTGGGGCTTGACGAACAGTGCCATTTGGAGAACCTGCATATGAGAAGGAATACGCTCCGTTTCTTCGTACACCTGGATCATGATGCGGGATGCCTGCGAACAACCATCAAATATATAAATGTATTATAGATGCTGGTAGATTGTCGCAGGTGGAAGCCATCAGCTGAGATGCAAGTATTTGGGGAGTACCTGCGGCTTGTGTGTCTGATCTGTTTAGGGGTGAGGGCTTCAAGAGGTTCGATGGTGTCGAGAGGATCGAGGTTCCGACCCGGTGGCCTGTCGGCCAGCCACAGATCAGAGAAGTGGGTCGCTTCCGTATCCAGCCAGCGTGGCCATTTGTGGACAAGGTCGTGGTCGCCTCTCACGACGTTGCACTATCTCGTCCACCTATGCGCCCTCATCCCTCCTTTGGTGATCCCGTCAATGAGCCACACCTGTCAAGCTTTACAACTCTTCAGCCTGGTTGATGTGGAGATTGAGACAAGTTTCTCCGTGACCTCCTCAAGCAAACTAGCCCAGTCATCAGTCTTCCAGGAACCAGCGCCTTGACCCTCCAGCATGAAAGCATGGACCCCCGGGTATTCGCCATTGCACCCGCGAAGGTGATCTCTTAGATCGTCAGGAGGCTTCAAGGTTCAAGAACCGTGCGGGCCTAGGTCCGAGTTGATTTCCACGTGCCCCATGAAAACCCTGAAGGAACGAACCAGCCATCGGAAAGCAAACGGCCCAGGATCCATAACCTTGTTCATGCTGGTTTCCATGCCAGCAGCCGAAACCTAGGTAAGTTTTGGCACATCGTCTCTAGCTCCTGACCTGCCGAGGGTACGATGGCTGGACGCCGCGACCTCGACCTCCGCGAGTTCGGCCCACTCCTGGTGCACAAGGTTGAGGTGCTTCTGGACAGCACCCCTCGTGGACGCAGTACAAAGAAGCTCCTGGCACCGACGGGCGCAATCCACGACTTGATCAGCAAAAGGGGTTTGGCAAAAGCAGGGCCCGCGGGCTGCTCGATGGGGATCTCGGGCGGCGTCAGGAAAGATCGCTCTCGAGGCCCCGGGGCTCTCGCACATAAACGTAAAACTCACAGGAGAGTGGGCATTGCTATCCGAAGTGGCTTTGACCCTGACCGACCTGGCAGAGAGAATCACGAAATTGCATTTGCTGGATGTCGGTCGATTAGCGGTCGCCGTGCTCTGGCGAGAAAATGCTGCCATCGACACGCTGGAAAAAAGAGCTGCCCTGCAGGACAGACGGGGCCATGCTGCATCAAAATCCGCGCCGATCGCCTACTAGCTCCCGAAGCCGAGGACAGCACTCCCGACGGCCGCCAAGATGGACCATTATCACCGAGCGAAGCGCTCACCATCAAGGTAGGAAGGCCAGACAGCTCTGCCAGGGTGCAGGTAGCTTCCAAAGTCAGGTGGCCTGTGCCCCAGAATCCCGAGCAAAAATAGCGACACCTCCAGATGGCCACCATCCAGGGCCCGCTTCAGCTTCCGGGAAGGTGCTCTTCCACCCGTTCGAAAAACACATGTTTGAGGCCTCGTTGCAGAGCTTCCAGGAATCCAGCCGATGCTCCTGCGCGAACGCCACCTGCGCCTGAGTGCGAGAAAGCCAGGGCTTGATCGAACACCATGACGTGACGTTGACAGTCTCGATACTCAACGCACATGAGAGGCAGTCGGCTGGTTGGCTGAGGGGGCGCAAGAGGCCTGACGAGGCAACAGGTGGCAAAGTGCACGGGTGCTTGGCCGCACCACGATGCGTGGGGTTGTTTGTCTTTCCTCTGAAGGCGAAGCAATGGCACGAGCGTGGGGGGAGGCCCAATACGCTTCAAGATCCGAGCAATGAACTTACCAGATTCGGGTCAGTTCCCTGCAACTCAGCGCGCGCCAGACATGACTGCTCGACTGGTCCACGGGCAGAGAATACAGAGCGGCCCCGGCCAGATGCGCCGATCTCGGGCCAGAGCCCCCCGATTTCCCAGCGGGGTGGGGGGGCCTTTGGACAGCAGCTCTGCCGCTCTCGCTCTAAACGTCGTTCACATCCGATGGCTGTGCTCAGCGCCACTTCAACATGCCAATACCGTGCGCGCGTCGCACCCCCAGGGGCGACGCGCGCACCGAGAAATCTTGTAGTATATGCTTCGTGGCGGGCGCTTCCTGGCCACGCCGCTCGGTGAACGACTTACTACAAGATGGGTATACTAGATGTTCGGGCCGGACGCGCGCCTCCAAGGAGGACATGTAGTACTAGCATGTCTTTGTGCGCCCCATGCGCTGCCGAAGCGGCGGCGGCTGAGTCCAGCCCGCAGCAGGCGGTCACATGACGACCTTCAGCGCCTGCAGCTCGTGGCGCCGCTGATGCAGAGCTCGTCGCCTCCGCCGCCTGGCGCTTCTGCCGCCTAGGAGTTCTCGCTCTGGTCGGCCCGCCTCTCCTGCGCCTTGAGCCGCTGCACTTGATCGTTGTGCCGGGCGTTGGCCTGCTTCGCCTGGGTGACCAAGATCATCGAGGATAAAAGAACACCCTAATGACACCCTGAGGACGTGGCCTCTCTTAGGTTCTCGTCTTCGCATCAGGGATGATAATTATGGGCCGTTTGGCCTGATACATCTGCAGAAACGACCCCATATATGCCTAATTTGGTTGGCCCTCCTTACTGCTTATGACAAGGGGCCCAACCACTCCTTTGCCACATTTTGAATTGCCACATCCAACTGCCCCTTGCGCTGGTCAGTCTCCTTGATTGAGGTCCTTCTCGCCGACGCCGTCGACCAAGGAAGCGTCGGCCACCAGCTCGTACAGGTCAATGATTTGACTGAGCGACGCGGAGCCGTCGACCAACGCTGAGAGTTTGAGCGAGGCCTGCGTGGAAGTCGTTGCCGACATTGCCTCAGCATCTTTGCGCCGAGATGCCTGGAGCTCTTCCTCGTCCGACTGGTACTTCTTGTCAGCTTCCTCAAATTTCTCATTGAGCGTGCCGATGTATGATCTGAGCGACAACCTCAGCCTGCCATTGCTCAAGCTTGTCCATCTCATTCGCAACTGTCTTTTCCAAGCGGGTGACCGCCTCATTGGACTACTGAATCCTCTGGTGGACTGGCACGACAGCAGGGCTCTTGGTCGCTCCCATCTGCTCCGCAAGCAACGCGACGGCCTCCCTTCCCTCATCCTGTGGCCGCTCCTGCGGGGAGGAGGGCAAGCTGTGCCTGTCCAGGGACTGCATGGCGATCGAACACACCAGGGGGGACCACCGAGAGCGCAAGCGCTGGCCGCTCCAGGCGGTTGGCCGCGTGGGACCTTGGAGAGCTGGGAGCCGCAGTGTCTGCAGGACCTGGAAGACACACGTGGCATTCGAGGCCGAAGGTCCGCGTAGCATTCGTAGCCGAAGGTCCGCGAAGCCCTGATTGCCGCAACAGCACGCGTAGCATTCGAGGCCGAAGGTCCGCGTGTTGCTCTGCTGCTTCTCGGTTTCGCGGCCGCCTCCTTTGCCGCCGCCATTCTTGTCGCGCTCGTATCGCCATGGCCTCCGCTGCAGATCACCATCGCAGGGGGCTGGTACCATGAAAGCGCAGATGGGACTTGCTCCTCCAGAGGCCCACCCAGCTCAACGCCGAGCTAGAGGCCCGTTGGCGCCGCGCCGCTTTGAAGTTAGCGCCAGCACACGCAGGGAACCTGCAAATTTTAAACGCCAGAACGGCTGAGGAGGAGGAGGAGGAGGAGGAGGAGGAGGAGAGGAGGAGGAGGAGGAGGAGGAATAGGAGAAGGAGGAGGAGGAGGAGAAGGTGGGGAGGAGAAGGGGGAAGAGGGGGAGAGAGAGAGAGAGAGAGAGGATACGGAGGATACGGAGGAGGAGGAGGAGAAGAAGAAGAATAATGAGGGGGAGGAGGAGAAGGAGGAAGAGGATACGGAGGAGGAGGAGGAGGAGGAGGAGGGGGAAGAGGAAAACGAGGAGGAGGAGGAAGAGGAGGACGACGACCATCGCATCTGACTGAAAGGGGTCCGTGTCCAGTGGCGCTTGAGTGGCGCTTGCGGCCTAGCAGATGATGGACTGCTGCCGCTTTCGTCCTCCAGCGCCTTCTGCGCTGCCCGAATCTGCGTCTCCTGCTCCTCCTCCTCCTCCTCCTTCCTCCTCCTCCTCCTCTTCCTCCTCCTCTTCCTCTTCCTCCTCCTCGTCTTCCTCCTCCTCCTCCCTCCATCCCCTCCTGCTCGTCCTCATCAGTCTCCTCGTCCTACTCCTCCTCCTTCCTCCTCCTCCTCCTTCCTCCTCCTCCTCCTCCTCCTCCTCCTCCTCCTCCTCCTCCTCCTCCTCCTCCCCCTTCTCCTCCAGGTATGGAGGGGAGGAAGGAGGAGGGAGGGGGGGAGGGAGGGCATAATAACGGGGGAGCGGATCTCTTCCGCGGCGGAAGGTCGGCGGAAAACGGCGGAACTAAAATTTCGGCGGTTCCGCCGGCGGAAGCAGCGGTCGGCCTTCCAAGAGATGACAACACGTTTGTGTTCAGGGTTTCCAGGACCCGCCACATGGGGAGAGTGACGGGGTCATCGACTTCGATTCGGCTAGATTTCCCTTGCTTGAAATGTTTTTGCTCTCGTAAACAGGGCAGGGCCGCGAGGAGGAGGAGAAGGAGGAGGAGGAGAAGGAAAAAGGAGGAGGAGGACGCCGGGGAGGAGGAGTCTAAGGTGGATGGGGGAGGTGGATGGCGGAGGAGGAGGAGGAAGAGGAGGAGGAGGAGGAAGACGAGGAGGAGGAAGAGGCGGTGGAGGAGGAAGAGGATGGAGAGGAAGGAGAGGAGGGAGAGGAAGAGGAGGAGGCGACGGAGGAGGAGGAGGAGGAAGAGGAGCATGTGGCGGAGTTGCACCCGTCCTTTTGCAAGGGAGGCGGTCCGATGGAAGTTCCCTGCGCAGGACTTCAGCCCCGCCGGGCCAGCCGACGACGGCTTCCCAGGAGCCTCTGTCTCTTGAATTTGCGGCTTCTGCGATGAGGGACGCTCCCCTTCTCCCTCCCTCCCCCTTCCCTCCCTTCCCTCCACCTCGTTCGTCGCCCTCCCCCTCTCCCCCTCCCCTGCCTCCTCCCTTCCCTACCCCTCTGCAATAACTCAACATGACTTGGTTCGCCAGCGTGGACCCCAAACAGTGTGCTCTACGAATGTGGCGCGTGTGCAGTTTATGCGGTGCAACCGACGTGCTGCTATATATGGGGTTCAGTTAACCATTGACCGTCTTGAAGCTGTCCTCTCCACTGCTCGTGCAAACATCCCACCCTCCCACCCGCAACTTGGTCGCAAGACCTCTTAAGACAAGACCGTGACGGTAGGTACCAGATGGCACTTGGCCACGACACCGACGCCGACGACGACAGCGACAACGACGACGACGGCGCCGCCGACACCGACGACGACGACACCGACGACGTCTCCAACGACTTCGACGACGACAGCGACCACGACGACGACGACACCGACGACGACGCCGACGACGACGACGATGACAACGACGACGACGACGCCGACGACGACGCCGACGACGACGACGAAGACGACGACGACGCGACGACGACGACGACACGACGTCGCCAACGAAGATGACGACGAGGGAGGAGGGAGGACGACGACGGCGACAACGACGAGGGAGGAGGGAGGACGGCGACGACGCGAACGACGAAGAAGGAGGAAGGACGGCGACGCCGACGACGACAACGACGAGGGAGGAAGGAAGACGACGACGACGACAACGACGACGACGACGACGGCGACGACATAGGAGGGACGACGACGAGACGCCGACGACGGACGCCGACGACGACGAGGGAGGAGGAGGAAGGACGACCACGGCGACAACGACGACGGAAACGACCACGACGCCAACGAGGACGACGACGACGAACACGAGGAAAGACAGAGGACGACGTAGGCGACGACGACGACGACGCGGGAGGAGGAAGGACGGCGACGACGACGACGACGACGCAAGAGCGCGCGCGCACGCTTTTGTTGAAAATCCGTGTTGCGAAACCTTGGGTTTTTGCAGATTTTTTGGACACGATTTTGAAATCCTTCCGGAATCGATGGGTTTTGAAGATTTCGGCATACGCGCGCGACGACGCGCGCGTCTGCATTTCGTTCCTTTTTTTACAGAGGATTCTCGCGACGGCACACGCGCAAAGGCGTTCGACAGATTTCGACATGCGCGCGAAGCCCGTTTGGTAGCATTTTGCGAAAATCTTGAAAAACTCATGGTTTTCCTAAGATTTCGCAAGAGCTCGCGCGTAAGCTTTGTTTAGCAAATCAGTGTTGCGAAACCCTTTGTTTTTGTATTTTTTTGGAAACTCGATTACGAAATCCTTCCAGCACCGAAGGTTTTTGAAGGATTCCGGCATGCGCGCGCGACGACGCGCGCGTGTGTACTTCGCCCCACGTTTTGCACGGGATTCGTGAAACAGTCTTATGTTATAACAAAAATTGTCACCGCATAGTGCTGTTTTTACAAGGGAACCTCAGGGGGGAGAACCCGGCTGGCCTGGGATAGTGTAAATTCATATTTAGGATGGGCATGTGGTCAGAATCATATATGCTTCACATATCCGAAAAGGGGGGCGATAACGCCAGGGGGGGTAGATCCTATTCTTTTTTTAGAAAGGAGAATTCATTTGCCGAACATGAAGTTGTCAACTCAGCTGCTCGCGCAATCATCCCACCCACCCACCCGCAACTTGGTTTGCAAAACTCATGCGGGCGCAATTGCGATGAGTGCTGGGTGTTGGCTGGTCCATCTCTGCGGCCGCGCTAGCCCGCGCATGCTCGCGCACGCAGCGGCCAGCTAGTTTGGCGCGACCGACGCGAACGCGGTGGCGCCGACCGTTCGGCACATCCCAGCGGGCACTTCAGTGCGAGTCGGCGACTTGGGCGGGCGCGGTATCATGGTACCGTCGACAACGGCAGACACGATGATGACAGTAGCGATGCTGGCGACGATGCTGACAGCGACGACGGGGCAACCAGTGTCGGCGCCGATGTTGATCACGCCGACGACGAGGACGGCGTCCTCGCGTCGGCGATGAAGGATTCGGGAGGCATTCGACATGCGCGCGCGGCAGACGCGCGAGAGTGGCCCGCATGGTATAATTTGACACGGATCGTGCCACCCCCTCACGCGCGCAAGGGCGTTCGAACGATTTCGACATGCGCGCGCGAAGCCCGTTCGGTAGCAATTTCTGAAATGTTGAACAACGGATGGTTTTTGTTAAAGAATTCGCAAGAGCGCGTGCACGCTTTTGTGGAACATCCGTGTTGCGAAACCTTGTGTTTAAAATGTTTTGTTTTGGGCAGCCGGTTTTTGAAATCCTTCCGACACCGCAGGTTGTTGAACAATTCCGGCATATGCGCGCGACGACGCGCGCGTGTGCATTTCGCACCGTTTTTGTAAGGGACTCGCGAAACAATGTCATGCTATAACAAAACATGTCACCGTATATTTGTGCAAAAGGGAACCGAAGGGGGGACCGATACCAGTTTGGTTGGGATAGTTTGGGTCAGAATCGTATGTGTTTTGCATCGGTTCCTGGAGAATCGATAAGTCGGGGGAAAAAGTAGAACCGAATTACTTCTTTAAAAAGGAGAAGATGTGTGGTGCAATCTACGTTGTACAATTTAGGCGGCGACGGGGCGGCGACGAGGCGAGCACGCAGCCGCCAGACCGCCACCGCCGAAGCTCAGACGACGGTCGGCGACGAGGCGGCCACGGGGGGGCGACGGCAAGCACAGAGCCGCCTGACCGCCTCCCAAGTCCAGACTTGGCGGCAACGGGGTGGCGACGGGGCGGCGACATCCAGCACGGGGCCGCCAGACCGCCACCCAGGCCCAAACGACGGGCGGCGACGACGCGGCGACGGAACGGCGACGGCGAGCACGGAACCGCCAGACCGCCATTCAGTCCCAATTTTCCAGCACAGAAGTGAGACCCCCGAAATGCAAGCACTGATCGGGAGACTGTTCGATTCTCTTCCCCCAAAACGGCCTGGGAGTAGCCCACCCCTGCGCGTGTTTTCTCCGATCCACAGGAGTTCAGTACGTTTGTTGTGTGTTTGGTGTTTTTTGCAATCGAGCTGCTTCAGTGTCTTGAATGGTGTTGCCGCTGCAGCCTTGGTCTCATGTTAGGGTCGGTGCCCTCGAGTAGCGCTCTCGCTTCACGGCGGGCCACGTTTTCTTGGATGAGGGTCTTTCCTTGTCGTTGTCGCCCCCTCCTTTCCCCTCCGCCGCCTTCTCTTTGTCATCCGTTTTATCCCGCTTGTTCCACTCCAATTCCCGCTGCTAATATTCGTCCTCCTCTTCCTCCTCCTCCTCCTAGCTCCCTACCTCTGGTTGACAAGGCTTTCTCGTTGAAGCCAGTGGCGCTGCAGGAGGGAGAGATGACCAAGGAGGGCATCAAATGCGACCCAGACTGCAAGGCCAAGCAGGTGGTGGAGGATCTGGTGTAGGACATGCGCGATGGTGACGTGCTGGTCCTGGATAATTCTCGGTTTCACAAATAGGAGGCCAACTCCAGCTCCGAGCAGATGGGGGGAGCCCACGAAGAAGGACTCCAAGGGTGACCCTCAGTGCAAGGCCACCGACGAGGTGGAGGAGACGGTCTCGGCCATCAGCGTCGGAGACGAGCTGATCCTGGTGAACAGCCGGTTCCACATGGAGGGGACCAAGAACGACCCCAAGATAGCAGTGCTGCACGAGAAGGCGGAGTTCGACGGGGAGGCTTTCCTGGCCCAGATGTTCATGGACAGAGGGGAGCGACAAGGGTGTGAAAATGGGCGACGTGGTCACCATGCTGGAGCGCGACGGCGTCGAGCTCGAGAGTTGGCGGCCAGCTTCATGGCCTCCGAGCGCTGCCACGACTTGTACGACGTGGTCGGCGAGTGGCTGTTCCGCGCGCTCTGGTGAGGGCCCTCGCTCTGTCTGCTGGGTCAGCCTCGAACGTTTGGCGGCTGGGGCTCGCGCTGGTGCGCGTTCCCTTGTCCCCTCCCTGGGGGCGGCCTCTGGGGGCCGTCTGGTCGCCCGTCCGTCCCGCCGGGTGACTTCCATTCCCCAGGCTTGCCCGTGGGGCAGGCCAGGGTCGCGACGGATGCCTGTCCGGGCGTCTTCGGGGTCCTCCCCTCGTCGCCACGGCGCCCGCGGTTACGCGCGCGCGGCGGCGAGGGACTCTATTATTGACATGTGGGGGCCTGGTGGGTGTCAGCGCGCTGACGGCCGCCAGGGCCTCTTTGATGACGTCCCATCCATCCCCCCTCCCTCCCCCTCCTCCCCCTCCTCCTTTTCCTCCTTTTCATCCCCCCTGCTCATCTGCCTCCTCCTCCTCCTCCTCCTCCTCCTCCTCCTCCTCTTCCTCCTCCCCCTCCTCCTCTTCCTCCTCCTCCTCCTCCTCCTCCTCCTCCTCCTCCTCCTGTGCACGCAACCCCCTGTTCCGATTGCGCATAGCACGTTGGGATCTTTGGGGGAGTACCAGGTTCGCTATGACACCCATCAGCGCATTCGGAAGGGATGGGTGGGAGGAGTGGGATGTCAGATACGGCGCCAGCGCGCCTGGCTTGCCCTCCCTCCCTCTCCTCTTTCCGCCCCTTCTTCATCCTCTTTTTCGTTCTCTCTGCCGCAGCCCATTTTTCACGGCGTCGCGCTTGCGCAGTTTGTCCGGGGCGCTTCGCGGAGAAGGTGGAGGGGAGGAGAAGGATAAGGGGGGGGAGGTGGCAGCCTCAGGGCAGGGAGAAGTCGACCCCGAGTCGCCCGTTATCCGTCGATGGTGGCCTCGGCGCCCCGGCGCGCCCCGGAGACCGCGCGCTGCTTCGCCGCCCCGAGCTTGGCCCCGAGGCACTGGCGCGACGCATGGTCGACTCCAGGTCGACGTGCACGCCCCTCGCTCCTCGCCCCTGTCCGCGGGGGGGGGCGGCAGCGGTCGCCGCCAGCGCTGAGCCCAGCCGGGGCCATCCCGGGCCCGGGAGTGGCTGGGCCTGCCTGGCCAGGTGCCGAGGGCACGCGAGCCGACCCTGTGCACCGTCTGGGCCTGGCCAGGCTCGGTGTTGGTGAATTGGCGCCCTCCTCCGCAGATCTCCCTATCGGTACCTCGTCCTCCTCCTCCTCCTCCTCCTCCTCCTTTTTCTCCTCCTCCTCCTCCTTTTTTCTCCTCGCCCTCCTCCTCCTCCTTTTTCTCCTCCTCCTTTTCCTCCACCTCCTCCCTCAGCCTGTCCTGTTTCTGCGTGTCCTCCCTATCCTAAATTTCATGTCCTTCACACTTTCGCGTGCGATGTGAGGTGTGTCGTTTGGTCGCGTAGGTACATACCCGTTTGCACGCGACGCGTTCGGGCGTCATCTTCTTGGTTCGCGTACGTCAGGAAGAAAGGTTGCATGGAGGGGAGCCGAAGCGGGATGGTGACGGGGAAGAGGAAGGAGGAGGAGGAGGAGGAGGAGGAGGATGAGGAGGAGGAGGAGGACGAGGAGGACGAGGAGACTGATGAGGACGAGCAGGAGGGGATGGAGGGAGAAAGGGGAGGGCGGTGGCGACGGTGAGTGTGAGGCAAGTGCTGAGGGCGCCTCCCCATCATCTTCCAGAATCCCCTTAGAAATTTGCTGAAAGTCTCGAGCGGGTGGAGTTAGGAGGAACAGACGCGGAAAGAACGGGGAAGAGGAGGAGGAGGAGGAGGAGGACGGAGGACGACGATGCAGAACATTGCTCTCCAGCATTCGAGCCCGCCTTCGAGCCCGCGACGGCAACGGCGAGACTGAAGGACCACCACCCCAGCGTCGTCGTCGTCGTCAACACCGGTCAGAGCCCGAAGCCTGTTGCCACCCTTGCCTTCCCCGTTCCTCGATCTCCGGACGTCGCAGGCAGACAAGACGTACGAGTGTGTGGTTGTTGGCGCTCTCGGAGGCACCCAAGACATCAGCCCTCGGCGAAAGCTGTTTCCCGGCATGGGGTTGAGGGCTAACGGGGCCCGCGTGGTGGAAGCGCACACGACGCTGGAGGCCTCAGCCCTCCGTCCCCTCCGCCCTCGCCCCATCCTTCGGCTCCTGCCCTCCAGCGCGCTCCAAGTTCCCTTCCCCAATGTCCCCCCTCGGCGCTTCCATACTTCTCTCGTTACCTTCTCCTCTACCCTTCCCATCGTCATCTGGTCCTCCCTGTTCGTTTGCGGATCGACGGCCCACTTTGTTTGGAGCCGGAGTTCGGCACGCGCCAGCCTCTGGAGCAGACATGGCTTTGAAGGCACCGTGGTCTGGGCCGCCATCCGTGTGCACAGCACGAGTGTTTGGACAACTGCCTGCATGCGCTCACAATCCGCCACGAAAAGGCGGGGGAGGGTTTTAATATAGTACGGGTGGCCAAGCGGGACTTCACAAAGCGAGTTGCTTCTGTCTCCCACGGCTCCTCTGGCATTCCTTGGAAGTTCAGTCTGCTCTTGGCCCGCAGTTCAGTATTCTTGCGAAGCTGTACATGGGCAATGAGTCGCTGCGAAAGCGACGCTGCCAGCCAGGGGCTTCGTATAACACGAGGGATCGAGCGGGGTGGCCCAAGTGAGCTCCTTGATCCTCGACTACCGCGTTCCAGCACGTCAGCGCGAGATCAGCTCTGCGGATGTTCGTCCCTGCACTGCTATCTGGCCCGAACGCCAGGCTCGCGATCCTTAGGTTGCCGATGCTGTGCTGATGAGTGGTGGAGCTGGACGAGGATACGCGGATGATGACGGATGGTGCCGACCGCTCATCTCGTGTGTGTTTCTTCATTGGTTTGGGGGTGTGCCCAAGTAAACCATATCATGTTTGACGCATCGCGTATCCTCACCAGCCGTTGCCTGTTGTAGCTAATTAGCCTCGCCTGCTGGCCCAGACGACGCCTTCCGCTCCCTGTCCGCTGCCTCGGAGCCGCCGACCAAAAAAGTATCCTCACCAGCGGCAGCAGCAACAACACCCCCCTCACAACCACTGCCTCAGCAGCAGCTGAACCCACGAGAAGATTCAGAGCAGCCACAGCAACAGCTACAGGTGCTGCAGCAACAGCACCCCGCAGCTGCCACAACAACAACAACACCCGCCTCTGGGAGCCAGCAGAACCCACGAGCGCCACACCGCGCCACCCCCACCTCCCGCTCAAAACAATCAGACCGTCAGCAGTCCTCTGGGAGCGCCACAGACCCAACAGGGGGACCACGGACCAACCGTCCAGGCGCAGGACAGCGAAGCCATACACTGGCTTGTCGGGAGAAATCCCTTCGCGCCTATTCGCCCCCCTTCCCCTGCCAGTGAACCCGCTCGAATGGATGGCGAACCCCAGGCGCTCTCTCCGGACGTCCAGGACACGACTGACATAGAATCTCGTGTTTTGGCAACGGAAACTGCGTCGCCGGACGTACACGCGCCCGGCACAACCAGCAGTGCCTGCGAGACCGGCGAAAGTCCTGCGTTGACCGAAGGGGACGCACCCGGGAGCGACGGCGGGCACAGGCCCGAAGGCGCACGCCAGCGAAAGGGGCCTCTCCCCACGCACCACAGGGCAGCGTCCGCCCTGGCTCCTGGAGACGATCCGACCCCCGCCTGGCGGCCAACCATGCGGCCCGCCTCTCCCCGCAGAACCCCGCCAGGCGTGCAGCCGGAACTGTCGCGGGCAGACCGCGAGCCCTCCGGCCAGGACAGCGAGGCCGGCACGCTGGCGACTTGCGACCAGGATACACGGCAGCACCAATGGCCTGACCCGCGCCAATGGCCAGAGCCCACGGACCCCGACACGGGACAGCAGCTGCACAAGACAGAGATTAACAACATCCAGTGGAACCTACCCGGGGAGACCCGGCGAGGCGATAAAGGCGGCTCCAAGTCACATTGGGAAAACTGTTCGCAGACACCTGGCACGCTTTCGCCAAACGGCAGTCCGTGCCTGGCAGCAAAGGCGCGCTCGACCCGCTTCGGCACGACCCGCAAACCTGCCACCTCTTCCTGGAATCCTTCCGCAGCCACAAGTGCGACGCACGGGTCGTCAGCGACGTGCTGGGCCTCGACGTCGACTGGACTCGGCTGCGGCATCTGCACCCGGGTCGAAGCGGCAGAGCGAGCAGGGATCACCACGCGGCAAACGGCAACCCGGGCACCCAGGCACCCAGGAAGGGCAAAAAACAGTGGCGGGCCGTCTCCCCACAGTAGCCTTTGCTGCTCCACTTCATGGCATCGCTCGCGCAGGGATCAGGTGCGACCCCCCCCCGTGCACGTTTCGTCTACACGGCGCTCTCAGTCATCAATCGCAGCGTTGCGAGCAGAGGCGGAGGCTCTATCCATCGCAGTTGGGGCTAGCTGCACCCCCCGTGTAAACGGAAGGCCGGTGTATCATAGATGGGGCTCTCGCTGACGCAGTTTCCACCATATCGTGTTGCGCCGCGGTTTGTTGCACCCCCCGTCACACCGTCGTTCAGCCCCCCCACCGCTCTCGGCGGCAAGTGCGCCCACGGTCATCAACTGCAGCGCTGAGAGCAGAGACGGAGGCACCTTCCCACCACGGAGGGGGCTCTCGCAGACACACTTTCCAACAATCGTGTTCTGCGGCGGTTAGCTGCACCCCCCGTGTCAACGGAAGGTCGCTGTATCATAGACGGGGCTCTTGCAGGCACCCTTGCGGCGGAACGGACGGGAACGGAAGGGGCAGTTTGCAGCGCCAGCTATGTTGCGCATGTGCCCCCCATATGGCGCGTCCGATGCTGGCACACTCCAGCTCGGGCTGCGTCGGCGTTGTCCTGCCACCCCCCATCTCTCCATGTGCCTTCTTGCGGCGGTTAGCTGCACCCCCCACACGTGGAGACGCTCTCGGCGTGCAGCTGCTATCGAGTTAGCGACAGCGCCGACAGCAGCCCCCGCTGCAGTGCCAACATCAGCTCCGACACCAGCTCCTTCTGCAGCACCGACACTGGCACCGACTTGTTTCGACACGCACGGAGGAGCGACGAATGCGAACGAGGCGCAGTGTGGAATGTTCGATTCGTACCCTTTCAATTGCAGCTACTCGGGAGCCCACTATGACGACGACGATTTCACCACGGCGGACATGTGCTGCTCGTGTGGTGGGGGGGGGCTAACGGCAGCTCCGAGTGCCGCTCCGACGGCATCTCCGACAGGGTATCCCGCAGGGCCCCCCACAGTACTGCCGACAGCGGCTCCAACTGTGGCGCCAACAGAAGCCCCGACGGCGGCCCCTACTGCAGAACCTACGTGTATCTTGCGGCGGTCAGCTGCACCCCCCCTCTCCACGGAAAGCGCACTCTGAGGGCCGCAGGCCAGCCACGGTGTGGGGCGGCGCCGGATGCGTGGCCTGGTGGTCCTCCTCTGTGCCCCCGGGGCCCGCCCGCGGCGGCTGCAGTAGCCAGAGCGGGTGGCCAGGAGAGCAGGCTGCTCGGTGGATCCCCCTTTCCACGGATCGCTATGTTGCGTAAGACTGCTGTGCATGTACCCCCCATGTGGCGCGTCCGACGCTGGCACACTCCAGCTCGGGCTGCATCGGCGTTGTCCTGCCACCACCACCCCATCTCTCCATGTGTCTTCTGCGGCGGTTAGCTGCACCCCCCACAAGTGGAGACGCTCTCGGCGTGCAGCTGCTATCGAGTTAATGACAGCGCCGACAGCAGCCCCCGCTGCAGTGCCGACATCAGCTCCGACACCAGTTTCCTCTGCAGCACCGACACTGGCACCGACTTGTTTCGACACGCACGGAGGAGCGACGAATGTGAACGAGGCACAGTGTGGAATATTCGATTCGTACCCGTTCATGTGCAGCTACTCCGGAGCCCAGTATGCCGACGACGACTTCACCGCGGCGGACATGTGCTGCTCGTGTGGTGGGGGAGGGCTGACGGCAGCACCGAGTGCCGCTCCGACGGCATCTCCGACAGAGGCTCCCACAGGGGCTCCCACAGTACTGCCGACATGACGACGACGACTTCACCACGGCGGACATGTGCTGCTCGTTTGGTGGGGGAGGGCTGACGGCAGCACCGACTGCCGCTCCGACGGCATCTCCGACAGAGGCTCCCACAGGGGCCCCCACAGCACTGCCGACAGCGGCTCCACTGTGGCGCCAACAGTAGCCCCGACGGCGGCCCCTACTGCAGAACCTACGGCAGTGACGACAGCAGCTCCAACGATTGCGCCAACAGCAGCTCCGACGGTGGCACCCATTAGCGCCAACGGCAGTGTCAACAGCAGCTCCAACGACAGCTCCAACAGCAGCTCCGACCACAGCGCCAACAGCAGCACCTTGCGCATGTACCCCCCATGTGGCGCGTCCGACGCTGGCACACTCCAGCTCGGGCTGCATCGGCGTTGTCCTGCCCCCCCCCCCATCTCTCCATGTGTCGTCTACGGCGGTTAGCTGCACCCCCCACACGTGGAGACGCTCTCGGCGTGCAGCTGCTAGCGCCAACAGCAGCCCCGACGGCGGCTCCGACGGCTGTACCCACTGCAGCGCCGACGGCAGTGCCGACAGCAACTCCAACGATAGCGCCGACAGCAGCCCCGACGGCTGCACCCACTGCAGCGCCGACATCAGCTCCGACACCAGCTCCCTCTGCAGCACCAACCCCGGCACCGCCCTGTTTCGACACGCACGGAGGAGCCACGAATGTAAACGAGGTGCAGTGTGGAATGTTCGATTCGTACCCGTTCATGTGCAGCTACTCCAGTGCCTATTACGGCGACGACGACGACGACTTCACCACGACGGACACGTGCTGCTCGTGTGGTGGCGGAGGGCTGA